GGGGGGTTCTATGCGTGAGAGAGTGTTTTATGAAGAGATAGAAAGTGTGGAAAGGGACAGGGGGACAGGGTGCAGTGAGATTATGCAGATACAGGCAGGCGAGAGACAAAAGAAACGATCACCTGCAAGTGGAGTAGCATAAGCGCTTTGCCCTTGCACGCTTAAGACATGAGTTATAGTCCCACGAGGGGAGTGTTTTAAACAGGCATCTCCGTCTTTCTGTTGGGACATCCCTCTCAGTCCAGGTTGGCTCTGACAGGAATGGCCAAAACCAACCTCTTCACATGACATTGTGTCGACGATGATGAAAATGCTTTCATTTTAAAAAATCCCTACCCATCCCTTATGCTTTGGTGCTATAAGCTGAAATGACCACGCTAGCCAAGACGGTGTAGAAACAGATATATTTTTACAATTATATCTATATTAAAGGAAGAAGCCGAGGCATGGATGAAAACAGTACGAGAAGCCAACATCCCCTGTTCAGAAGAATTTTCCCTCACAGCAACTCTGGGTGACCAGGTCAAGATCCGTGCCTGGACCATTGCAGGCCTCCCTACAGACAGTTTTTCTATAGAAAACGGCATCATTATCAGGTACAGGGCTTGTGTTGGGAGAAAGACTGGGGTCAGTTAGCTTCAGTCAATTTCGTATACTTTAGAGTCAAAAATAATGTTTCTTAATCTGCTTCACATACTTGACTAAAAAGAAAAGTTACTTCAATGCCCCTTGAATTCTAAATCTATTTGATTGACACTACAACGCAGCATCTGTACGAAATATTTTAGGCTTTCTGCTTCAACATCTCATATTCGTTAAAACATCGACTTCCTACAATCTTGCAGCTGATGGTCTGTAGATGCACTTTGAGATTTAAGTCGAATTATATGGTTCCCATGATGGTTTTCTTCTCTTCTTTGGTTGTAAATCACAGAGCGGAGGGGAAAAAAGGGAGGGGGGGGGTCTGATGTTGCGCAGAACATTTCTACGTTTAAAACGCACTGATTTCAAAAACTCTTCTACAGTCACACTGCCGATGTTCTATATTTCACACTGTTTGTCTGCTTTTCATGCCAACGGTTCCCTCCCGTCTTCTCCAGCAATTCCAACAGATGGCCTCTAATGATAGACCCCCAGGGACAGGCCAACAAGTGGGTGAAGAACATGGAGAAAAAAAACAACCTGCACGTCATCAAGTTCACAGACAGAGACTTTATGCGGAACTTGGAAAATTGCTTGCAGTTCGGAACTCCCGTAGGTAGCCATTTGTACAAGCACTTAGACATTGTCTCAAATGTCTCATCAGAACGACCGTTGGACCCGCTAAGAAAAGTTTGAGCCACTTTAAACACGGCAAAAGAGATGGGAGCTCCATATCTAACTTCCAACTTCATTAAGATCGAGTCGAAAGGATGGACAGCCTTAAAAACGTCACAAAACAAGTTCAAGAACACGCTGATGAGGTCTTGAATCAAGTCCAACTAATCCATGGCCCATTATGATGCCAAATGAACTTGATCTTTTTCTTCCAGGAATTGACACCCTGGCTATTTTGGATCTCAAACAAAATATTTCCCATAATATTTATTAAAATTTTATAGATGCTTGTAAGTCTGTCTTGCATGTTTGGTTCCACAGATATTAACACTTTCATCGGCAAACTTTGTGGATAGTACCTTAACACTCAGTCAGTCAGTCAGTCAGTCAGTCAGTCAGTCAGTCAGTCAGTCAATCAATCTTAACCCATTATCAATCTTAACCCATTCTTGCCTACACTCTCGACACACGCCGTTTAAACTGTTTGCTACACCTGCAACCATCTCACTACCTTGTTCTACACCCAGGTGTTGCTAGAGAACGTCCAGGAAGAGTTGGACCCTATCCTGGAGCCGCTCCTGCTGAAGCAGACGTTCAAACAAGGTGGCGCCATCTGCATCAAGCTGGGCGACTCGGTCATCGAGTACTCGGACGATTTCAAATTCTACATCACCTCGGGTCTCAGGAATCCTCACTACCTACCAGAAATCTCGGTCAAGGTCGGTGGTCGTTTTTGTGATCTAATTTCTTTAATTTGGTAGTTGATATGTTAATGTATTTTAGGCATATTTTCTTTTCTGTATGGTTGATGCAGAGGCGGGATTTCTGAATTTGATGTGCACTTCTTTCAGAACCGTGCCATATAGTTGCACAGCCTCAAAGAATCCCCAAACCAAACCACCCAAGTATAAGATTAAGAATACCCCGATTACAGATGGGAATCCGTATCTCCTCCTTCTATTTCTTGTACGTGTTTCTATTGTCCTGGTGGGATCTCTGAGAGACAGGGCCGCAATTGTGCGGACACTTTTCAGCCTACACAATTCCAAGGACAATAACTAAATTAGAGTCGGTTGAAAGCCGTTATCAACACTATTCTATTACGTAAGAGGCAGGCAATCCGAATTTGACGATAGAACCGAGCCAAATGGGATGAAAGCCTAGAAAACGCCACACAAAAAACGACTCGACTCCAAGCGCCCCCAGAATAGGATTCGAAAGGCCACCCGCTCCGTAGTCCAGAATGATACCAACTGAACTAACGGAGCGCCCATGAATCAATAACAACAGACAGAAAATGGAAAATGAAGCAGTAAAGACATTTTGTTCCTTATTGCAAGCATTTTGATGAACTTATCTCGCTTTGCCCTTGCTCAAATAAATGTTGGCAAGAAATCCATGCCAATAATAAACATAAGTTATTATGTACGAGTCCTGGCTCCATTGTCCTATCTATAAGTGTAGGCTTCTGTTGATCTTGCGCAGGTGACATTGCTAAACTTCATGATCACACCAGAGGGTCTGGAGGACCAGCTGCTCGGTATTGTGGTCGCCAAGGAAAGACCAGAGCTGGAGGAGGAGAAAAGCATGCTCATACTGCAGGGCGCCAGGAACAAGAAGTGAGACTTTCATAATGTGTGTGTATTTGTACATGAATATCGCTAAACATCCATTTTAAAAAATTCTTAGTAGTGCAGGTGATATAATTAGTACTAGTATTAGTATTACATGTCGTATTAGTATTGGTATTATTGTTATTAATATTATTAT